AACCATGGGCTCGCTTAGTTACGAAAGAATGTTACTTAGCTCTCCCTTTTGCTCGTTATAAACGAGTGAGAATAATCCAGTTTAACTCGTTTTACGTTTTTGAGCAATGATTTGGCTCGCTTTTTGAGGGACTGAGAACATCGTCATGGCCACTCAAACATGAGTGGTTTACAGCTCAATTACGAGTGAAAGTCCATTCACTCGTTCGAACGAGATGCAGATTCGCTCCTTTACATACAGAGAGTATGTTAACTGTCATTATACATGTAATTTTTACAATATATGTTTATTATTTTCTTTCTTCACCTTCTAAAACTCCTAAACTTTCTTTGAAAATTCATCTTGCCCCATGTAATGATATTTGTGTTAGTAGAATGTTGACAAGTCTCATGTTACATGAATTCTTCCACACTGAGTTTATGGTGTAAATAGATGAAAAAGAAATGAAGCTTTTCAAGTAATCTACAAAAATCAAAACAGCTAGATTATAAAACACAATATGAAACCTGAAATTTCTTTCGGGATGTACACGTACATGTATATAAACTCAGAGTGGAAGAATGCAGTAACATGAGACTTGTCAATGTACATTTGTAAATTACCATTGGGTTCAATACAAAATTTAAATTTGGAATTGACGAAGGAAAAGTACCCCCATACAGAAAATATTATTTGTATGCCTCTGCCACCGAAGGTGGTGCCGGAGGCATCATGTTTTCGGGTTGTCCGTCCTACATGTACGTCCGTCCGTCATGCTTTCTCGTTATCGCGATATCTCAAGAACAACCAGAGGTATGAACTTCAAACTTGATGATAGTATGTATCACCATAGGAAGACGATCTGATTAGATTATGGAGCAACTAGGTCAAAGGTCACAGAGGTCGTCTTATGAAATTCCAGGTGTTAGCCTCGTTATCACGATATCTCAAGAACTTATTGAGATATGAACTTCAAACTTGATGATAGTATATACCACCATAGGAAGACGATCTGATTAGATTTTGGAGTAACTAGGTCAAAGGTCACAGAGGTCGACTTATGAAATTCCAGGTGTTAGCCTCGTTATCGCGATATCTCAAGAACTACATGTAATTGAGATATGAACTTCAAACTTGATAGTATATACCACCATAGGAAGACAATCTGATTAGATTTTGGAGTAACTATGTTCAAGTTCAAAGGTCACAGAGGTTAATTTCTGAAATCCTAGATATTAGCCTTGTCATCGCGATATCTCAAAAATCACTGGAGTTACAAGGCTCAAACTTGGTGATAGTGTGAATTACCATAGGAAGATGATCGGATTTGATATTGGGGTCAAAGGTCACAAAGGTCAATTTCAGAAATTATAGGTTTTAGCCTTGCTATTGCGATATCTCGAGAACAACTAGAGATATAGGGTGGAAACTTGGTGATAGTATGTCTCATTGTAATAATTTCATCGATTTCCTATATTGCCTTTAGGGTAGCTTAGGGCGGAGGCATATAGGAGACGCAGTCGTATTTGTCTTGTTTCCTGTGATATGAATAATTATACACATTTTGTTTAAAGATTATCAAATGAGGAAAGTCAAAAAGCATCAAAGCAGAACATTGTAGTTTGGTAAATTTATTTCCATCTACATGCATGTATCTCGCTGACATAGGAGAATGGCCTGCCCACAAAATTAGGGTGGAGCTTGAAAATGAAACTCGCCCCCATTTATTTCTCTGTTTTTATAACTTTGCACCAATAATACTGGATATTATGTTATACATGTAGATGTTACTTCAGCACTCAGGCCATTTTTTTCTTCTCTAACTAGTGAAAATGTGATGGAGAAAAGTAATTATTACGATTGTTGAATTTGAGTGTACAAATGTGCAATTTTGCAACATTTGCGTGCAAAGGGTTTATAGAGTAAAACTAAACTTATGCAAAACAGTGAAAATTTCATTAAAGGTAGGGTGTCCCTTTTGCAGACCTCCCCAAATCCAGCAAAACCTTACATGAACCTCAGGCTAGTTATGTTGGACATGTCTGTGAAATTTGAAAGCTAACAGTCATCTAAGATTCAAATAATGCACAAAATACTAACTACTTTGTAGCCTGTGTGTCAGGCTCAGTTTACTTTTTTTGGCAATCTCCGTATTATGGTCTATGATTACTAATCTACACAAGAGCTGATGTATAAAATGTGTCGGCGCTAGTGCACTTTCGCACCGGGCGCCTAATTTAATGATATAACATCAAAAGTAAACCACAAAGTAATCAAAAACCTGTTTCAGTGTCTCTCTGAGGCTGATGTCCCGTCCTTTCCTCAAAATTGTGAATTTTACGTAAAATTCGCCGCCGTACACTGCACTCACTGTACTGGCACTTTGGCATTCACTTCTCGCTCGCACAGATCTGTGCGAGCGAGAAGTGAATGCCGAAGCGCCAGCGCCCGTACAGTGAGTGCAGTGTACGGCGGTGAATTTTTACGGAAAATTCATGATTTTGAGGAAAGGACGGGACAACAGCCTCAGAGAGACACTGAGGTGGGTTCTTGATTAGTACTTTGTGGTTTTATTTGGATTTTAGGCACCCGGTGCGAAAGTGCACTAGCGCCAATGTGTCATGTAGCAAGAATGAATATGTACATGATCGTAATTTGTGACAAAATGTCATTACATCACATACCTGGAGTACACACATGCAGTACAAGGGTCTGCAGCAACTAGACTACATGTATAATAAATGTGATCACGAAATAAATCAATTCAAAATCTAATGGTCAATATAATTCCACCAAAAGTCAGTTTCCAGTTCCTATACTTTGAGGGAGGTTCTCAACTGATGATCTCGTTAACGCGATATCTGGAGAACCCTTTGATGGATTTTGATCATATTTGTCCCAGATGTACATCATGAGATGTAAATGAACTGATTAGATTTTGGATGAAATCCGCCTAAGGTCAAAGGTCAAAGATCAATGAACTTTGCCTGAAAAGTCTCGTTAACGCGATATCTGGAGAACCCTTTGACGGATTTTGATCATATTTGTCCCAGATGTACACTATGAGATGTAGATGAACTGATTAGATTTTGGATGAAATCTGCCTAGGGTCAAAGGTCAAAGGTCAATGAACTTGGCCTGAAAAGTCTCGTTATCGCAATATCTCATTAACTTATGGCCGGATTTCGATCATACTTGGCCCAAGTGTGCACCATGAGGTGTAGTTGAACTGACTAGATTTTGGGTGAAATCTGCCCAAGGTCGAGGGTCAAAGGTCAATGAAATTTGTGTGAAAAATCTTTTTATCACGATATCTCGAGAACCCCTGGGCAGATTTTGATCATACTTAATCCAAATGTACACTACGAGATGCAGATAATTCATTTTGGGTGAAATCCGCTTAAGGTCAAAGGTCAAAGATCAAGGTCAAACTCCGAAATTTCACTGTTTCTGCCCTAACTCAAGAAGTATTGGACAGAATTCCATCAAACTTAATTTTGGGTCAAAGGTAAAGGTAAAATGGTAAATTTAACAGTTTACGCCCTAACTCAAGGTACATGTATAAGATAAGCAAATGTTACTATAAATATGAAGGATTATGGCAATACTTAAGTATTTGTGCGGGAGGGCGGAGGCATACCCGTCGACTGCGCGCAGTCAAATTCATCTAGTTTATAATATGAATTTTGCAATATTTCATTTATAGATGTACATGTACACAAAGAATTGCTCCCTTGTATCAGAATAAATTACAGTAAGGATGACTTTCCACATTCCATGAGGAGCCAAACCATGTTTGACATTTGAAATATTTTAGATTTCCATATGATAAAATACAAAAGAAAAAGCGGGCTTGTGACATCATCACTTTTGGACACAGCCTCATTCATTGTTTTTTGAAATAATACAAATTTCAAATTGCTGTAACTTTGTTATTTTCCATCTGATTTCAATGAAATTTGTACTGTTATGCTTGATTGATTTCACACTATCAAATCATCTTTGATCTTTGATCTCGGGGTGGAGTACATGCAAGTAGGAAAGATAGGAAAGACACATTACAGTAATCTCCTTGTTTTGTTTTGTTTGCCTTCGCTATCCTAGACAAGAATGTCTCGACGACTGAGAGAGCCTGCAGATACCAACCGCCCAGAAGATTACACAGAAAAGGACAGAAAGGGGTTTTGTGTCAAAATTCTACCAGGAAAGGGTAAGGTATCCAGTGCAGATATAAGTGATTTCGAAAGGCTCCTTTTTTCATGAATTAACATCCTTCAAGATTATTTTAAGTGTCCAATGTGTCCAATATCAGGATAAGTAGTCTGAATTGTATTTTCTTTTTGTTGAATAATTTGTACCTTTTAATAGTGATTATGCATTACTTTGGTGGCCCCTTTTTGTAAGCTTTGCTTTTTCCAGGGTCTCCGAACCTTCACTTTAATTTTGATCATGTGTCTGTCAGTGTAAATTTTCTATTTTGTTTTGTATATTTTTTGATGGTTAGATAATGAAATGAATTGATAGGAGGCATATACAAATGTAGGAGGGATAATGATCTGATTAGTTTTGGGGGTATTAAGGTCAAAGGTGACAGAGGTCTACGTTCTCGCGATAACTAAAGAACCGTTTGACGGATCAATTTCAATCTTGGCTCATATAGGCTTATGGAAGTGATGATGATCTGATTAGATGATTTAAGTTTTTGAAAATTTTAGTAGTTAAATGTGTAATATATTTTAGATCTGGCAATAGCAGAGGCATACATTTTAACTGCGCTCAGTCGAGAATCCGTGTAGTTTGGCTTTGTAATACCATCTTCAAAAACAGTGCATTATTTATTGTTATCTCTTGTACTCTGCAGGTAGAGCTGTTTTCACTACAAAAAACTTTCATAGTGGGGAGTTTTTACTCCATTACCATGGGGAATTAATAGATAAAGCAGAGGCAGAAGAAAGAGAAAGATTTGAAGAAACCGGATTCAGATATTTCTTCAAGTACAGAGGGAAGAATCTGTGGTAAGTGTTTTAAAGGTATTGCACCGTGTTGGTAAAAGTCGAAGAGGTAAAATTAGATTTCCTTAATTTTATAGTTTTTGGATACACTTATGAGGGTAGAACGCACCCCCGCCAAAAAAAAATCGCTCTGAAATGCCTGTATTTTCGAGAAATCGCGTGTTTAGTGTTGATTTTGGTTATTTATCTGGTACTCGATAAATACGGCTAATTCGCTTGATGTTGAATATCTCATGGATAAAATTGTTTCTGATCTTACTGTTATAATGTAATGATGAGGCTCAGACAGTCATTTGTAAGCTTGGTAGTAGCAACTATTTAAAGGCAGTCACGCAGGGGATTTCCTGATTAATTTCAGCCGCAGATGGCGACACACAAGTACGGTCACGAAGCTGTTTACCGAGCGGAATTGTACGTGCGCGGGTGTCCAGTTTCTGTACGTGCGTATGCGCACCATTCTCAGTCATATCATGTCACTGCACTGTCAGTGTCAGTATCAGACCTGCAAAACAGTCTGTCTGATCTGTCCTGACACTCTAAATTTGCTCAAGTCAAATTTTCAGTTTCAAAATCAAAGTGTCCAGGGCTGTCAGTATCACTGCAGCGAGTGTCAGCAGGTCAGTGTCCCTGTCAGTGTCACTGCAGCGAGTGTCAGCAGGTCAGTGTCCCTGTCAGTGTCACTGCAGCGAGTGTCAGCAGGTCGAGTGTCACTGCATTGCAAAAATACATCAAAGACCAAGCTTTGTGCGCAAGATAGCAAATATAATTCAAACTTAACGTTCTAATAAAGCCTCTAGAGACGATCGGATATATAATAAAACAATTACCGGTGACGAGATCTCGATAAAGACAAACACCAAAATTTACACCGCACATGAAAGTAGACGTGCAATCGCGATCGCAGGTTGCAGCGTACAGCATGCAGCAGTAATTTTCGGTCTTGTTTACGTTTGGTAGTATAAAGCGCGGCCGAGTACAACAGCTGTTCAATTCAGTAGTATACTATAACTAGACCCTCTATAAGAATCCAGATTATAAATCTACTAACTAATTTATAGCTTATACAGTATATTATTAGAATGTGAAAAAAAATAACTGTGCGGTAACAATGTAGTATATTTTCTTTGCTTTTTTAAGATGCAATTGACAACACAAGAAACATACACAGATTGCGATATTGCGCAATGTGCACGTTTCTTTCGTGCGTACGTAATGTGAGCTGATCGCTGAGACAGCTCGAGCGGGGATAGCGAGCTGGCGATTCCTATGCACACGGTTTGATTTCTATATCGTGCGTCTGTGTGTGTGCGTCGCTCGGAAGAGTTCGGACGGCCATGTTTGAAATTGGGTGCTGCGGGAAAGACGACCACTTTGGTGTTCGCTTGCCCCTCGAGCACGCGTAGTTTGCATTAGGCGAAACGGTTTCACAAGGGAGTTGGACGGCGTCAGCGTACATGACATTTCTCGTGGCCAATGAAATCGCTCGCCACGCGTGTAAGTCTTTAATATGTGGTTCCATGTTGAAAGAACCAAACAACACACTCCCTGTGTCCTGACCTGGGTATGACTCATAGGTCATGACACAATAACATAAACATTGGCTAGTCTTTGTTCAGGCTTATCATTACAAAGACTTTACAAACAGATATCACGACACTTTCACAGGTAAGGTTCTATTCATGTTGATACATCACAAAATAAAGGAAAGTTGGGAAATTAGAAACATCCCTCTCAGTATTTTACTGGTTCGTTTGAGCAGGTAATAAAGAGCAAGTTTTAGGCCTGCCTTCACACCTACACCCTCCGAACTCTCCACCTTCGTATAAGCATCAATTGCCTCTTCCAGGTGACGGAAATTTTTCCTCTTGAACAAATCACAGATATTCCCACTTTTGTCTGGGAGACTCCCAATGGCTTGTTCTGCCATGTTCATTTTTGAATGAAGATTGGCCAATCTTCGCATATCAGCCATCACTGATTTTTTTACTTCACTCTTTTTGTCTACCTTCCTTCTCTGTTTGTTGAACATCTTTTTTCCCACTTCAAGTAGGATAGGATCTTTTGTGCATATGTCATAAACATCTCTATCCTCACCCTCTCTAAATTTGGATATTATTTCCTTCATGAATTCCCCTCCATTAGCTTCATCTACCACAGACATCATCTCAGCAGGGATAGGAGTTACTTCACAAGCTGCATCGGAGGTTTGGGCATGTTTTTTTTCATGTCTTGATATGTAACGTTTTTCTATGAATGCTTTGCACAGATGACAAATGACCAGTTTACCCTTTGTCTTTGAATCATTCCTCCTTTCTCTCTCAAGCACTGGATTATCTGGATTTTTCCTCAATCTTATCTTGTTCAGTTCCAATATGCCCTCTTTTCTGAATGCATCAAATACTAAATCCCTTTCCTTCTTTCTCATTTTCAAGGCCTGGCAAACTCTCTTGTGATCTTTGTGCTTTTTCTCTATGTGATTCCGTAGCTTTGACCACATTCTTTTGCAGAATATGCAATAACGGTAAGGTTTCTTGTATGTACCACATGCAAGAGAACCTTGACCTGGTATGTTTACTGGCCTACATGTAGGTATCTCTTGGTCCTGTGTGTTTACTTGTTCACGCATCTCTTGGTCCTGTGTGTTTACTTGTTCATGCATCTCTTGGTCCTGTGTGTTTACTTGTTCAGGCATCTCTTGTTCCGCTGTGTTTACTTGTTCAGGAATCCCTTGGTCCTCTGTGTTTACTTGCTCAGGCATCTCTTGTTCCGCTGTGTTTACTTGTTCAGGCATCTCTCTGTCCTGTATGATTACTTGCTGAGGCATCCTCTCTTTACATGCAATGCCTGCTTTAGACCAATTGGAAATTTCAATGCCTGGTCTCTTTGATTTTAAAGCTCTTTCATGGGACTGGATCTTTCTCTTACCAATCTTATTACAGACTACATCTGCAGGAAAATCATCAGTTTCAGATTCAGATTCTGAATAGGAATCTGGAACATAGTCTGAATCATCATCTGATTGGTCATATGTGTAAGGTGAGCTGCCCTCTGTGTATACTTGCTGAGACATCTCTTGTTCCTGTGTATATATTCCTTGAGGCACCTCTGGTTCCTCTGCGTTAACTTGTTCAGGCATCCCTTGGTTCTCTGTGTTAACTTGTTCAGGCATCCCTTGGTTATCTGTGTTGACTTGTTCAGGCATCCCTTGGTTCTCTGTGTTGACTTGTTCAGGCATCGCTTGGTTCTCTGTGTTGACTAGTTCAGGCATCCCTTGGTTCTCTGTGTTGACTTGTTCAGGCATCCCTTGGTTCTCTGTGTTGACTAGTTCAGGCATCCCTTGGTTATCTGTGTTGACTTGTTCAGGCATCCCTTGGTCTGCTGTGTTGACTTGTTCAGGCATCCCTTGGTTCTCTGTGTTGACTTGTTCAGGCATCCCTTGGTTCTCTGTGTTGACTTGTTCAGGCATCCCTTGGTTCTCTGTGTTGACTTGTTCAGGCATCGCTTGGTTCTCTGTGTTAACTTGTTCAGGCATCCCTTGGTCCGCTGTGTTGACTTGTTCAGGCATCCCTTGGTTCTCTGTGTTGACTTGTTCAGGCATCCCTTGGTTCTCTGTGTTAACTTGTTCAGGCATCCCTTGGTCCGCTGTGTTGACTTGTTCAGGCATCCCTTGGTCCGCTGTGTTGACTTGTTCAGGCATCCCTTGGTTCTCTGTGTTGACTTGTTCAGGCATCCCTTGGTCCGCTGTGTTGACTTGTTCAGGCATCCCTTGGTTCTCTGTGTTAACTTGTTCAGGCATCCCTTGGTTCTCTGTGTTAACTTGTTCAGGCATCCCTTGGTTCTCTGTGTTGACTTGTTCAGGCATCCCTTGGTCCGCTGTGTTAACTTGTTCAGGCATCCCTTGGTTCTCTGTGTTGACTTGTTCAGGCATCCCTTGGTTCTCTGTGTTGACTTGTTCAGGCATCGCTTGGTTCTCTGTGTTAACTTGTTCAGGCATCCCTTGGTCCGCTGTGTTGACTTGTTCAGGCATCCCTTGGTTCTCTGTGTTGACTTGTTCAGGCATCCCTTGGTTCTCTGTGTTGACTTGTTCAGGCATCCCTTGGTCCGCTGTGTTGACTTGTTCAGGCATCCCTTGGTCCGCTGTGTTGACTTGTTCAGGCATCCCTTGGTTCTCTGTGTTGACTTGTTCAGGCATCCCTTGGTCCGCTGTGTTGACTTGTTCAGGCATCCCTTGGTTCTCTGTGTTAACTTGTTCAGGCATCCCTTGGTCCGCTGTGTTGACTTGTTCAGGCATCCCTTGGTCTTCTGTGTTTACTGTGTTTACTTCCTGAGGCATCTTCTCCTTACATGCATTTCCCCATGTGCTCGCTTGCTTTATTAGATCCGAATAATAGGGTTCTGGGAACTTGAAATCTTTTGGCAGCGAGTAGTCATACAATAATTCCATATTGCTCTTCATGTCTTTTGTGGCGAACAGACATAGTGCGGGTTTCCCCGTAATTTCAATCACTTTCATCCTACAGTTGGCCTTTTGACCTGTTGCATGGTTCACGAGTCGTGCCAACACAGGCTCCTTCTTGCATGGCTCCATTGTCGCATCAACACTGTAAAATTACAAATGAAAGAATTTTGAATCCATATATTGTATTTCAAATAATGTTAGAAAGATCGGAGATAATTACTTGATTAGAAAACAACTAGATATTGGCACTCTATAATACTTGGATTGGATAAGATTGGATCCTTAAATTTCTGTGAGGATTATTCTTCCACTTACATATTTTCAAATGCCCTAAATTTTCATGACTTTCCCAAGCAGCAAACTCCAAATTTCTATGACCATTTCATGTGTATCAATGCAATACTGCATGTAGCTAGCTCCCCTCAGAACTAGAGTGTATTAGGCCTGGGAATATTTGAATATTTGAATTATTTAAATAGCTCACTATAGTACTAATCAGAAATCAAATACCACAATTTCTACTATTCAAATATATTTGTTTAACAATGAATACCGTAGTGATTTCATATATGAATATATGTTAATAGTTATTAAAAAAAAATAAAAACATCAAAAGTAATATATCACAGAAAATAAATCAGACAAAAGAGCCACATAGTGATATAATATTTGTCTTGCATTTTGCAGCTCGACATGAGTCTGTGGGGGCATATCGGTCATGGCCAACCTTCGACCACTTCACTGGGTGTTGCACTTTGGGCTCATACCACAAATATTTGGACTATTCAAATACTTTTTCCATAAATATTTGAATAGCAAATTTGGTATTCATTCCCAGGCCTAGAGTGTACATGTACATGTATGTCGTCAGTCATACACACTTATACTTAGTTGTGAGGGGAGCTTGCTAGTATCAGTACTACAAGTACACAAAATAATAAAATACATGTAATAGAAGGGCTGGTCAGGGAAGTGTAATTGTGGAATATGATACAAACTGATCTGACATGAAAGCATACATTTTTTTTTTTAATTCCCTCTGTTAATTATACAAATAAATATAAGGTTAGAATATTAAATAATATCTTGAACAAATGATTTTCCCCCAACTTTCCAGAAGTATTAATGAATTCCATGACTTTCATTGACATTTTGCTGTTTGAAAAAGTATTTCAAATTCCCTGACCCATAATTAAGAACCCTGTTCTGTTTATAAAAAAAAGTTTTTAAAGAAAAATGTAATCTAATTCATTCTTGTTTAGAGAACCATACATTTGAGCTACATGTATCTATTATTTTATATATAGTATATTATTCAGTGTTTAGGTGAGAGATTACTCATCTTTAAAGACAACCTCTCAACTATTTCTACCTATCCCCCTTCCTGGGTTAGTTGGGATCTGTTGACTTTTTAAAGGGTTAGAGGACATCTATGATAATTGCACACCCATTTCATACTTGTTTTTTCTTGCTGCCAAAGTTGGTGTGGTTGACATCCATCATAGAGAACATCATAAACCACAAATCTGGATTTAATTCATCGGAGATCAATCAACATGCCAGCATTTGATGCTTCTTTATAACTAATATAATCATATTTCTTAATTTGGACAGAAATTAAATTCTTAAAGGT